TGTGTGTGTGTGTGTGTGTGTGTGTGTGTGTGTATTGTCAGCTACAGGGACAGCAGTGTCAGTCACTTATTCTTCTTTGTTTAAATAGGTCTGGAAAAAATAACAAAACAAAACACCATAGTGTAGTGATTTTGCTTGGCAAGTGAAAGATTGCTGGTTCAGTTTTAACCACTGTGGTGATTGCCTGTGAATGAGGGAGCAGCTAAACATACCTTTTTAAAAATGTTATGTTTTTTAAAAGTATGCATTTAAATTATTTAAATAAATGCATTTGGTTTTGGCAAATCAAGACAGTTTTATCATAAAACTATCCATAGATTTTAAAAATGTTTTGACTGTATGTTGTGCTAATTTTGCATCACTTGCAGGCACCAAACTTTGGATTCATTAGCTACAGTGATCAAACTCCAAATTCTAACGCTCCTCAAAATTTTGGTCACAGTAAAGGTAAGAAGAGAAGAGCCAGAACCAGCTATCGCATTCATTCTTTTTAAGATTTTTGCCAGTATTAAAGTCTCTTTCACTTTCACTGACATTCTTTGGGCAGCTTCAAAATACAAGTTCTGTACTTGGAATCAATGCTGAAAATGTGAGGCATATATAAAAAGAACCGTCATTCCTTACCAATTAATGCAATACTTTTGTTAAGCCTTCTGAATTAAAGCTGAAAGTCTGCACTTAAATCACATCTTGATTACTTGATTTAAAACCCACTGTGGTGCTGTACAGAAGTTGTGACACAAAACCTATCTCACTGTCTTAGTACTGAACTGTGTTAGTATTAAAAGGTTCTTGTGTGTTCAGAAGATGTAAGACAACAATATTTTTTCCAAACTTCAGTCTGCAACATTTTGATCATCTGTTTAGCAAAATGTGTTCTGTAGGTTCAGTTTCAGATGACTTTACAATATATCACATTTTTTTCCAGGAGTTCTGCTTGTGGATAAAAGTGGAACTGGAATCTGGCTCCTGCACAGCACACCAAAGTTTCCTTATGCAAAAGATGAAAATTCATTCTGGCCATCAAATGGAGTAAAAAATGCACAGACATTTATCTGTGTAACATTTCCCTATGACCAGTTTAAGAAAATTGGTAATGTATTCACTTAAATCTTCATATTTGTAAATGTGGTTATATTTTATTGCTGTAATGAATGATGCACTTTAATGTGGGGCTGTTTTTTTTAGGTAAACATCTGCAGTATATTCGAGCTTTCCCGTTTGACCATCGTATTCCAGGAGACTTTCACACAGAACTACAGGATGTTGTAAACAAGGCTGATGTTCCTCCAGATGATAATTTTCAGCAACTGAGTTCAAATAACAGGTTCAACTTTTACAGCATCGCAAAAAACATCCAAAGCTCTGCCGATGGTGAGACATCTGCATGTTTAATAGATTACAATAGTTCAAGTCATGGAAAAACTGCCCAAAAAAGAAAAGACTTTAGATTAAACAAACCCCTGAGCAGTAGACCGGATCTGAATTTGAATGCGACAGTTTTGTTGCATATACCTCATACACCCAGCCATAAGATCTTAAGACAATTCTTCAGTGTGAATATTGCCACATAGTGTAGATATCTGTGTGCCATTTAGACTGTTTTTAGACCGCAGATCAATAGAAAACTGCTCAGTGGGTTTGAATTTGATTACTGTGTTTATATATGTTCAAATAATAATCCAGTTAAATCAGAACCATGGTCTGATATAACTGGACTAAAGAGTGAATGCTAATATACGGACACTGAGGCAGCCCATGTAACACCAGTGCTGTTGCTGTTGTTGTTATAGGTGGAGATCTTTATGTCACTATTTCACAGAGAGTCAGCAGCGATCTGCTCGTCCAGACGTGGGGCTGCCAGGCTGGCCGGGATACATCCTTCTGCAGAAAGAATAAATTCAAAGTGGAAAATATCAAAATGATAGAAACTAGCCTCAGTCAATGGAAGAATACACAGGACCATTCCAAGTGGTGTGTAGCTAAAGATCCAGAGAATAACTGGATGTGTGTTGCTGATGTAAACAGAGCCCAAAGCCAGTACACTAGGCGTGGAGGTGCACTGTGTATTAATGATAAAAGAATAAAAGACATTTTTAAAAATCTTGCAAAAGAAAGTGAGGACTGTCAAAACAGGAGCCTCCTGGACATCCTGGATGTCCTGAATCTTCGAAATTTCCTGAACATCCTGAACCCCGATTGTGATCCATAGCTACACACTGCCTAAAAAAAATCTGTGTTACTCTGAAGTATTTGGCATGTCTAAAAATAATTTATATCTTAAATTTAATGAGCTTTTTTCCTTCATGTTTTAATCCATGACCATCATCATTAGGTAGAAGTAAAGTAATCTCTTCTATTCATATATGTGGTTATGTTATGTTACATGTACCTCAGCTGGAAATTTAATATGAAATTAAATAATGCAAAAATTATTTCAAGCAGCAAAAACCTTTTGAAAACATCTTGCCAATTTAAATGTATTATTATGGAAATAAACATATAACAGGAACATGGTCATCCTCTGATAATGCTTTACATGCAACAACTTTACATGCAATGTGGATTTACAGTATAACCGACATCTGAAGCCACATGTCTGGTTTGTAACATCTAAGTGCAGGATTATCTTTATCGTGTAAAAACTGGTGATGTATGTTTGCCTTGCAAATAAACTTTAATCATATTTAAAGTGAAGCAAATTACATGTTGAAATGATTCTGTTATAAAAAGTGATTCTTTGATGCACAGCCTGAGCAAAAAGTGAAATCCTCACAGAAATATGCAATCTTTCTGTGCGTCATGTAAATGAACGGTCCTGTTTTTGTTAAAGTCAGCACAGATTTGAATCTCATGCATTTCAGCCGGAATAATAGATTTCCTGTCTGCAGCATGTGTGTTTGGAGACTCTTCAGAGAAAGGTTGCAGCTTTGAAAGAGTATCAGCCACTGCATTTGAACCCAAATCTGATTGTTTTCAAAACCTAGTTTTTAGCAATCATGCCAAATGTGGAGTTTTTCAGTTTTTACATGTGGAAAATCTTCACACTTAACTTAAACAAATCAATACATCTGTTGATTTATACAAGAACATGAATTAGAAGTGATGAGACTGTCCTTATAAATACACACACACACACACACACACACACACACATACATA